CCGGTGAGCGCGGGGGGTTGGGGCGGCGGGTCCCGGCCCCCTCGGCGCCGCCCCGGCCTTGCCACACGTTACATGTATTGCGCACTCGTCAGGCCAAGGAATCACCGCCGCCTTGGCTGGTGAATCGCGCCATACATGTGGACTGAGCACAGGTGCAGAGGGGCCGCCCGCCATTCATGCCACAAACGTAATCCGACCGCAGGTGCGGGGGGGGGATCGCCCACGAGTTGCGCCATAAAAGTAGACCGTGCCGAGTCATCGCTATGTGCCTAAAATGTGGCTGCCCAGCTATCCAAAGAGCTGGCCAGGTCGCCACATACTGCTTGGAAACGCGCAGCAGTTCCCTCGCTGGTTTCTCGCCAGCTTCAGTTTGAGCAACGGGCAGCCGGGCCCTCGGGGTCGCCAGGTCCCCCATGTCTCCAACCTCCATGTCCCCGGCTGCCGCTTCAGGCCGTTGCTCCTTCCCGTCTCCCGCCGTCCCGTTTCCGTCCTCTCCAGCGTTGGCAGTAAAGAGGTGCCGTCGGGAGGCTCTGGATGGGCAGGGGTAACGGGAGGTGGCTGGGGGCAGGGGGTGCTGTCACTTGGGCTGATTGGGACAAGTTGGGCAGGCGGGCATTTGCAATTTGAGACCTTTGGACTAATGAGTTTCGTTCCTCAAAAGCAGAAGGCCTCTGTCCTTGCTGGCTGGGGACGGAGCATGGTGCTAACCAGGGGTCTCCTCTAGCTGTAGCGATACACGTATTGAGTGCTGCCGCTTGGCGTAACTGGGAGCTGCTGTGGGAGAGCAGCGGGCCCAGTGAGCTCAATGGCAAGGAAAAGGTTTCGGTTTGTTCATCTCCCATCTGACTTGCTCTGAATGAGCTGGTTAGCACCAGTGTCTGAACAGGATGGCTAAGACGGTGATGCTTATCGTACTGCCGTTAATTACTTCCTGTTCTTAGCTGCTGTTAGTAACTGAGGCAGGAAGAAAGTCAAGTGCAGCTGATGAGAGCTATTTATGGAGCTACTCGTTAAATGCTTATGTAACAGCAGGGACCTTCTCTGAGATGCACCTCCTTTACATTTAACTGTACATTTAATAAATGCTCTTTAATGCACACTAAATCTCACTGGATTTACAAATAATACTTTTTAACATAGTAGAAAATCCCTCATCTACCTTCAGGCCAAATTGCAAGCTCTTTTTTCAGCTATCATTTGTGACAGCTGACAGGAGAAAACAGGTGACAGGAGTTCAGTTCCCAGATTACACCACAGCCAGGTTTTGTACTGTTCCTCAGCCTGCTTATCCATTGTGTATGGAAGTGGGAAAGGGTCAGTCTCTGTTTTCCTCTCTCCTCAGCTTTGTTCCCAGCTCTCTTTCTGGTTGAGGCAGTGAACACTTCACCCAAGAGGAGGTAGGTAGAGAGTGAATTACACATCACTTGGTGCTCCTCAGCCTGACTTACCTTGAGAGAGCAAATGGGAAAGCTGACTGCTGGATTTCTCCATATGGGACATCTGGAAAGTTGTTTTTTTAAATGACTTCTCTGTGAATTGATGGCTTAGCCAGAAATCATTCCTGTACCTGGAAATGCTTGTGGTGCCTCTATCTCTGCCACAGCTTACTGCCTATGAGAACTGAAATGCTCATCCTTTCTTCTGCTGACAATTCTGCTTTCCTTATCTCTGCCTTCTGACTACAAAAGAAACCCCACTGTGCTCAGGGTGTATTTCCAGTGAAGGCCCTGGAAAACTATTGCAACTGAACCTCTGATTAGACAGAATCTTCCTGGATTTGTCTTCAGACTTGGAACTTAAGTTTCAAGCACCAAGGATGGTTTTTTGATTTTGGTTAGGATTTCGGTTTGGCAAACCTTAAGTGTGCAGAGAGTGACTATCCATAAGTTATTGTATCTGACTTGTGCAGCGTTAGCTCTGTTTTTAACTCAGAACTGCTTTTCGGACAAAGCTGTGACCATTCTTCCAGTCTAATGACAAAAATTGTTTTAAATGCATGGAACTGTGGGTTACAATATTAGACTAAATCAGTGAGGATAATACTCCTTTGGCCTTTGTTTGCTTCTTCTTGATCCTGCAATCCTGGATTGAGTTGAACCAAATCCTGCGAAGGTCATTCCAGCTCCATGCATGCTCTGGGATTCCCCAGTGTACAGTCATTTCATCTTAAATCTAAATTAATAAAAATCCCTAACATCAAACTCCAGCAGTCTTAGCCATGCAGTGGATGAAATTTGCCCACGTTCTTGTATGATCCCAGCAATGTAGTTCATCCTTGCCTAAAACTTAAGCCAAGTAACTAATGCCTTTCCATTCTCTCATAATTTTTAGTGCTGGTTGGTACACACTGTACAAGGGGATAGAACTAACTGCAACTGTGAACATTGTTAGCAACACGGTTTCCACTGTATTATCAGAGGTGAATTACTTTAACCTGATGAAATCCCTTTCCCTGTCTGAACAGTCAGCATCATGCGTATCTGCCATTTAAGTCCTCTGTATGAGCAGCATGTAGGGTGCCACTTGCACACTGGATATGTTTAGCCCATTGCTGGCACTAGTGATATGTAAATTCCTATGACCAAAAGAGATTCTTATTCCATTTCCATGTACACTTGCTCCCACAGTCCTAACCTTCCACCATAAAACTTTATTTTGTTAGTTTTCATTCTCTCCCTTTGCCATTCTGTATGTTAGCCCAGTCATGTCCTATTGCTGCCCAGTCATGTCCTATTGCTGCTTTGATGGCTGGGAGAAATTTCCATAGAAGCACGTGGATAAGTTTTCAAGATCCATGCATTGAAGTATAGCATCAAGGTGATGATAACCTGTGTAAAGTATCTTAGTAGACAACTTTAAGATGAGCTTTATTACTTTTTTTTTTAAAGAGATTTTAACTGTTTAGGGTCTTTTCCTTTTTGCTGGTATAACGATTAACGAGGCTAAATCTTATGCGCATCTCTGTACAATGTGACTGGAGACAGAGAGCAAGAGAACCATTACTGTTCAGCTGTATTTAAAAATGCCTTCAATTTCTTTAGCTACCACTTTTCTGAATCAGATCTATGTCTTTATTTTACACTCTCCCTCTTTATTCACTTTTTCCAGTCTTCCCTATTATTAGTTTTGTGCCTTCACATCAGCATGGCTATATTTGGAGGCAAGATAAATTTGTCTGGTCAGAGTTTGCCATGAACCTAATGGGAGTTTGATTTATGAAGACTACAAGGGGGAAGGAGGATGAGGTGGAGGGAGATGAAATGCAGGCAAGGAAAGCTAATAGTATTTCTTTTCTGCAAACTAATGTTGCATGCAGCTAAGGAAATAACCAGCATATGTGGGGGTGGAATGCTTCAGCTTTTCAGTCTGAAGTGTTTTGAATAGTGTCACTGAACATTGTAAAATCCTTATTTTCACAGTCCAGACAGTCCCTAGTGTTTTCTGAAACAATGTGTCAGTATTGTCTGCCTTAAAAACAAACAAAGCCAGTACCCATGAGGACTAACCCTATACAAACAAAAAAAGTGCATATACCTAGTTGTTCAAGGGAGACAAAAATGATAGTAGTACAAGGTTTGTTTGACAACTTGAAGCTGGTTCTAAAAGCAGGAAATCAGATTCCCTTCTCTCCTCAACTTACATAATGTCCGGGCTTAAGCATTCCTCAGCCTTGTTACTTGTAGTATCATGTGTCTCCATTCCACCTGTTGGCTGGTAACCTCACATGTAGTCCCACTGACTTCAAGCATGCTTCTCTGTGCCTCCACTTGTGGATTAATGTACAACTCTAAGCTGAAGGATGCTAGCCTCTGATGCCAGAGGGAGCTTGGTTATGGTGCCTGAAGACAGATGCTGGCTCCTCTGCAGCAAGGCCAGCACATCACATACTTAGCTCAGTTCTTACGTAGTGGGTGGGCACGGTTTGAGAAACCTGTGGGACGGTCATGCAAGTTATGCCATCATAAATTTATGCCCATGAAAAGTCATAGCATACAATTGCACACATTCATATCCTGGATATGTGTGTTTTTTTTGTAAATATCCATACTGTTTTTCCATGAATAAAATCTTGACTGAGGGGTCTGAATTCAAAAGTCTGAATTCAAAAGTCAAAAGGGTCTGAATTAAAAGTCTGGTCAATTCATCCAAAAACAATATTTACAAGAGATTGAAATGCACTACTGAAAGTCATAAACGTGAATGGTTTTACTGCAGTATGGCTAAATATTTATGCCATTACTTTACAGATTTTAGCCTAAGCAATAACTCCTCTTTGTTAAAACAGCAGGCCTGGAAGAGGGTGCAACACTGGAAGATGTATATTTGGCTTCAGTTGAAACGGATCGAGGAGTAAAGGAACAATTACGCCTTTACGACACTAGAGGTCTGGAAGAAGAAGTAGAACTGCCAAAGCATTACATCTCTGTTGCTGATGGCTTTGTTCTTGTGTATGCTGTGAACAGCCTTGAATCCTTCCAGAGAGTAGAACTACTCAAAAGAGAGATTGATGCGTTTAGAGACAAAAAAGAGGTAAAAGCTCAATGCCTTAATAATTTCTTGGCTATGTCTACTAGGAACTTAAGTTATGAAACAAAACTAGCATACAAAGAAAAGCAGGTTTTCTCACAATCTTGAATGATCTCCTGTGCAGGAAAGCTTCCTCTTGGGAAAATCTCATGTGCTATTTAACTTGCACAAAAGGGATATTTTGCCCTAATTTCTGAGCAAGAGCTAAATAGTTGAAGGGAGACCCTGCTTAATGATACTTTACTTTACTTTACTTAATGGATAATAGTATAATTTATAAATAGTTCTGGTATTCACACCAAAAATTAAAGCACACAATAATAAATGTAAACAATTTTTGTTTTTAGCTGTACTTGTTAGTTTACCAAATGCTCTAATTGACAGTGGGTTTCCTAGACATTAGTTAATTACCAGGGAGGCTCTAATGTATTTTGATGTGTCTGTAAAATTGGTTCTGCTGTGTGAAATGACTGCTGTGTTTTCCCTTTAGGAAACAGCTAGTGTTCTCAACTGATAAATTGTTTCAGCACCACTAGCCAAATATCATCTGCACAGGGCACTAATGTTTACCATTTTCTTTTCTCCCTGCTAAACAGCTTTATAGGACACTAAAACAAAACTTCAGTCATTTAAAAAAATGTATGTGGGAAGTTAATTGAATAACACTAAGTAGCTGTCATACTAGTGAATGCAAAACAGCTTATTTAATACTTAAATCATAATGGGGGTAGGGGAGGACAGGCTAATCGCTTGACAGGTTGGAGTGTTGTAGTTATGATGGTCCAGGAAATACGTCAGAAGCAAGGGTTTTTGATGATATATTTTTTTGGACAAACTATAGTTGGCAAAGATCCTAGACAAGCTGGAGTACTTTGTGCCCAAGAGTTTATCTAATCTCTCTCCCAACTATGCAGTTGGTCCAATAAATGATCTCTACACACTCCCCCAAACAAACCCTTGCTTCTCACATAATGGCTTGATGACATGCAGTGACAGACCCATTGACCATTGCTGAGTATTTTATTTCCTGAGTTGGTTGCAGAAGATGTTAAATAGAGGCATTGTAATCTGTGTTTTTGTATTCCCTCTCCTCCCTTCTCTTCTGTTTTCTGGGCTGATAAAACCACATATTGGCTGCTTTTGCTTTAACTCTATGAGCGATGAAAGATTGTGATCTTGGCTAAGAATTACACAGATGAACTGGTGACCCCCACAATAAAAGTTAAAATAATTCTATGTCTACATAGTGTACAGCATGCCAGGGAGAGGTGCTTTCAGATGTATACCTCTGTTGCTTATCTGAGAGAAGCAATGTGGAGGTGGCTTTGGATGGGATAAATGGTAGTCTCACTTAGCAGTGCCAATTAGCTTGCTAGCAGCACTTGTGTGAATGCAGATGTACTGCTTCTGGTCTAGGAGGTAGCGTGGGTGGAGCAGAGGCATGTCTGAGGGCCCTGACACACACTGCCTGGCACCATACTGTGAACACTAGTTGTCTTTTTTTGCTGATAAAGCAGCAGTCTTGATGTTGTTAAAAAGGAATGTCTGAGGAACAGAGTGTAAGGCAAGAAAACTCTTCTGTTCTAAGAAACTGAAGAGTCATGCTCCGTCGGGAAGAAAACAGGAGGCATAAAGCATCCCAGAGTCAGTCTGTTGAACGGGAAAGTATAGTTGGGCCTGGCTACACTGAAAACTGCTGGTGGTGGGAGGAGGAATGGGAAAATAAAGCATCAGGAGAGAGTTAGAATTAACAGGTTGTAGTAGGAGGCTTGAGTTGGGTCCGCAGAGAACACCTAGCAGGGATTAGAGTGCTTAGTGTAAGTACAGACAGATTTCCTTGCTTGTTACTAAAACGTGAAATTATTCAAGTGAACGACTTAATGTTTTTAAGCTTAAATGTACAAGTTTAAGCAGTACTAGTAATTTGAAGTAGTCATTTCTGCTTTCAGCCTTTCCTGCCCTAACACTATGTTTAGACTGCAAACCACTGCAAGAGCATAATCTAAATTCCACTGAAACTATATTGGTCTTCGCATACAAGCAAGACTTGCAGGGGCTATGCTTCCGAAGAGTCCTAATGCCTGTAGTAACATCAACCAGTAACATGTTTCCTTGTGCTCCCTTTATTTGGAATTCAAAGCAGGAGGCTGCACTGCTCTCTGCTGCATGACACCATCTGTTGTTACTCACCTGAGTGGATGTAAAATTGCTGTTCTGATTTGGGGAGTATGAATATGACTCTGTCATTCACATATGACAACACAAGTGCAAGACAAATCTCAAATCCCAAACAAAGAGTTGAGCTGTATGTTTTCCCCCCTGGGAAACATGTAGCATTTGACTTGGCCTGGGTGTGGATGCATGACGCAATTGCTGTGAAGTAATTTATTCCCCACTTCTCATCTTACTCCAAAGCTAGGAGCAGACACATAGCCAGCTGCCCCAAATAGGCTGCCTGCTGCAGGTGCTATTAAAGCTCTTGGCAACTGGGTGGCAGTGTAACTAGTTTGCATTAGGTGAAGGTAAAATTGACTAGAGGAGTAGGCTCATAACAGGTATGCTCGTGGAACTCAGATGTGTGTAGACTTGGGTTGAGTGACACATTATGAGTGCCCAGAGTGAGACACAGGTTTGAATTTTCTACTTCACAATGAACGTTAACAAGAACAGATGTTGAATTGCATAACTGCTACATATTGTTTAAGGGGTGTACTTGGTAGCTGTGTTGGTCTGAGACAAAAAGACATACAAAAAACTAGAACTCTTGGTTCCAAAATGATACCTTTTATTAGACCAACTGGAAAATGGCAAGAAAATTGTCCTTTTCTGCAAGCTTTCGGCCGATTTTGGATTTTAAACTTCATTGCAGAACTACAATGACTTTTTTTGCCTCCCTGCCTCCCCTCTGACACCTTCAGGGAAGGAATTCTACCTGATCAACACATCAAAGAGCTACTCAACACAGCTCACAAAGACTCTCAGAGGGACAGACTTCCATCTTCATCTCTCTCTGTGCAAAAACGAAGCTTATTTCCTACCTATGGGGACTTTTTACCATCTTGTACCATCTACACTTTTCCCAGAGCCTGACGAAGGGACTTTGATCCTGAAGGCTTGCAGAAAAGGACAATTTTCTTGCCATTTTCCAGTTGGTCTAATAAAAGGTATCATTTTGGAACCAAGAGTTCTAGTTTTTTGTATGACATATTGTTTAACATTTTTTGTTGTAGAATGACTGTTTTAATATAATTTTATTTCCTATTTTTGCTTCCTTCTAGGTGACAATTGTTGTCTTAGGAAACAAAACTGACCTCACAGAGCAAAGACAAGTAGAAACAGAAGTAGCGCAGCAGTGGGCAAAGGCTGAGAAAGTGAGACTGTGGGAAGTGACTGTGACAGATCGGAGAACGCTGATAGAGCCTTTCACTTTTTTAACCAGCAAACTCTCCCAGTCCCAGAACAAATCAGCATTTCCCCTGCCTGGGAGGAAGAACAAAGGCAATAACTCTGATAACTAAAAACCCTTCTTCCAGGAAAGGCTGTTTGAATTGTCCACTGCTGATAGTAATGACCAGGACCTATTCAGCCATTTGTTTCTCATGGTTTTTCTGAAGCAATATTAAAAATCAGCAAGCTCCTGGACAGAAGGGTTTTTTCTTTAAAATATTTTCCTGGAAAACAGCTGGTGGCTGGGGTTTTAAAAACACAGAGTGGCTTTGTGAAAATGGTGCAGTGGTCACTGTGGAGGTTTCTTTATAAGAGGAAGCTCTGTTTAAAGCACACTTCAGCAGCAAAATGCACAACGTTAGTGACTGTTCCCAAAGCACAGTCATTTCATGGCCTGTCTTAGGTTAACAAGCTTACAATTATACTACCTGACCAGCATGCAGCTGTAGGTTTGCTTGCCTTTCTCTAGTTAAAAGTGCTCCAGACTGCAACAAAAGAAAAAAGGGTTTGGTTTGGGATGAGAATCTGTGGTATCGGTCCAGCTCCTGTTTTTCACTTTTTAACACACGGTCATAGACGGCAGTGATGTTTCAGGAGGCTGGGGCCAGAGCAGCCGTGCAAGAGAGGGAAGAGACTTGAAGCTACAAATACCAAACTTTGCTTGGCCATTGAGAATATTGCTACCAGTATGTGGAGGCAGTGGCATGTCTTTAGAGATCTTAGACTAGGTCTGGCTTGATGCTAATACTCAAAGGCTGAAAATGTGTACTTCCATGTGTGGCCTCCATAAGCTTGACCCAATGCAGGAAGTGATCTTTATGCTTACGCTTTGAACAAAACAGAAAGGCTTGAGCACCAATTACAGATTCTATCCTTTGCTGTGGAGGACGGCATGGCTGTCGCTCTGTTTCCCGTCTATTTTGGCCATTAACTGAAGCAAAAACTGACTTGTCAGCACATACTGGTCATGTTTATATTGCTGACACCTTCACTGACAGAATATGTGATATAACGAGGCTTAAACTTCTGGAAGGGCTGCAATCCACTACAGTAAAATTTTGGTAGCTCACATTCTGAATGCAGTGAAAGAGCCCAGAAAAAGAACAGTATGAAGCATTTTCCGGCAAGGGAATAAAGAGTATAAGATCTGCTCCTTCTAGCCAGACATCTAGATGCAAACTGCTCACCAGGAGGGCTCTGCAATACTCTTGGCCATAAGCAGGTGCACATCATCCTGAATGTGACCCTCCAAGTGGACCAGCCTGTGCTGCAGGAGTATTCTCTTCCATTTGTACCTGTCAGCAATAGGAACAATTGAAAATAGCAAACAAGAGCAAAACTACAGCAGAAAGGCCATTTCCATAGAGACAAAAAAATCAAGAGGTCTTTGATTCTGATCATACAAACTGATGCTCTTTGTGTATGGAAAACAAATAAACTGAAGAGCAAGGTTTGCCATTCTTCCAGTAATCTTACATGATAATTTAAGCAGCACAATGTCAAATCATGATAGTACAATGAGACTAATCAGTATTTTGACATGCTAAAACTAGCTAGCTGCATTAAACATCCAAACCAGGTGTCTTCAGCAGTGTTCTGCTATGAAATGGTATCAACATAAGGCAGAGTCTGAATGATGTCACAGTTAGTAATGAGAGAACAATTTACCAAATGATGCAAGTCTTTATAGTGCATTTAGATCAACCTGCTCTTCCCCTTGCTCAACTTGGTTGTTCAGGATCACTGTTTGAGCTCAAGAACTATGACAAGAGAAACAGTCAGCAATCATTTGCTATTCCTTTTGAATGAGCAAGTTCCTGCAATTTTCTTAGAAGCTGGCAATGGTTTCTATTGCAACACTAATAAGAACTATGGCACTACCTCCTCAAGCCTAGCCAGTTACTTTGCAAGGAAACAGTAGAACACTGCTTCTCAGTTTCCTGATGATTGCATGTGAACTCAGTGCATCTCCCTGCGCAGAAGGCTACCAAACTCTGCAGTCCATTTGGGATAGGGACATGACTTGTTGCTCTATAACAGTGATTCTCAATTTCTTCCATACTGTAGCTGTGTTAATTGCGCAGTTATCTGGAGACAAGCAACATGTGCAAAGTAGCTATCACGCCATAAAAAGCTCCAACTAGCTATAAAGTTAGACCTCAAAAATGTGTCCTAACTTTATAGCTGGTTTCTAGTGAGCTTTAATTTGCATGTGCAGCAGCACCTCCCCTGCTGCTGGGAGCCCTGTCAGCTGACACAGGGCTCCCAGGCACAGGGGTGTACCCTGCCCAGCAAAAAACCCTTGAGCCCTAGGGATCATAGCAGGTGTGATCCCAGGGTCCAGGGGTTTCCTGCACCCTCAATCCCTAAGGCCTGGGGATATGGGAAACTCGTGGGGCTGGAATATGGCTGTAGGGGAGATTCTCCAGCCACAGGGGTTTCCCTGCACAGCCAAGGTTGGGAGATTTTTGTAGTAGGGTGTGTGGGTTGTCTCTGGAGCAGGGAGCCCCTTAATCGGGGTGTGTGGGGCTCCTAACTACAGGAGACTGCTTCCTGCCAGTGCAGGGGGAGCCTGAGATCAGGCATGGCAGGAGGCATGATTGTGTGAATTGGGCATTAGATCCCATTGTGCCTTTACCTGCACCTGTAGAGGGGGGCCCCAGTTTGGATTTGGATCGCAGGGCATCTTGTGGGATAGATCCAATGTAGGGCGACTTGCAGGGCTGGCAAATGCAGCAGATCCAGTACGGGCTGGCAGCAGGAGGGCAAGCAGCCACTTGCTGTGGTGGTGGCAATGTGGCAAGCAGCTGCTGGCAAGCAAGGTTACGTTACTGAAGGCCCTGGCCAGCAGAGCCCAGGGACCCTGAGTTCTACAGCAGGATGTGCCTCCAGCTACTCTAGCTCACCAGTACTGGAGCAGGCAGCTCCATGTGCTGAAGGGCAGAATGTCTGACACCGTGAGCTAAATCCAAGAAGCTCACACTTGTGAAAGGCTTATGGGAGTGGACAGAATTATTGAGCAACTACCCCTACCTAAGGCTGTACTGTGGACCCTGAATCATATGGAGGGCTGCAAAGGTTTGTAAGAAGTACGCTGCATGGCATTCTCGTCCTTACTGGGATTTCCACTGTTGGTCCCCTTCAGTGCCAGGAGGCAGCCAAGTGGCTTCTGGTGTCAGTTTTCCATCAGCATCATAGTTGCCGCTCTACTTGGACACATGCAACTAGCTTCTAATAAAGGGATGAGGGAACAGGGATTGGACAGTGTGACTAACAAGGGATGCAGTACCACACAAGCTATAAAAATTCTACACCTTTTTATTTGGTCAAACTGGTTTCTGGGATTGTCTGGGGTTTTGAAAAAAAATACCCTCCCTTTCTTTTAGGGGTTCATTCTACTGCCTTTTCATCACAAAAGTCTGGTGTCCTTTCTGAATACTGCAGTCCCATGCCTAGTTACCCAGTCATGTAACTGAGCCAGACAACAGCTGGTATTGGGTGAGAGCAAAGTTTGCAGTGCATTTCAGCTTCAATACAGAATTGGCAAATTCCTGGGAGCAGTGAGCACTAGGTGAGCTTGAGCAAGGAAGGGGCAGGAGTGGCATGTGCCATGTCTGCTTTATGATAAACTCAAAAGGAGAGTCCAGTTCTTCTCTTGCAGCTATTAATCTCTTTGCTCAGTGAAGGCTGCTCAGATTACAGCTCTGCAGGGAGGGGATGTAGTTCCATCCTGTGAGCAAATGAGCAGGGGGTAGCATGAGCCTTGAATCAGTTCCCACCAGCCAGAGGCTAGTTGCACATATGGTGGGAAGAGGGAGGTGAACTTGCTGTCTGACTCAGTGCAGGGGAAGAACTGCATTTAAGAGTCACTTCTTTGCAGAGCTTCTGAAACAATGTCAATGTGCACCACCACTTTCCAGGCTGAGCCTAAAGGCTGGCTTTGAGCCTGTGTGGGTTGAGTCTTAATTAGTATCTAAACCTGATTTCTGTGTGGATGTTACTAATGTAGTAACCACAGTACTAACAAATGTAGGTTCTGGAGACTAAGTGAAGCGTTAAATTCATCATAATTTAAGAGTTTAAAACATTTCCAATTAAAAGTATGGTAATGAAGCATGAAAGACAGATGAATATTCAATTATATGTTAAGCAATGTAGAAATGTAAAAATATAGCAGTTTATATTAAAAATAATCTTAACTCTACCACCCTTATTCATCCACTTTGCTCTCAATGGGTGGCTAAGAATGAAGGGTCCGTAATTTCAAGTGGCATTGCTGAATGTGTATCCAGTGCATCCTCGGGAATGAATCTGAAGCTCTTTTAGTCTCCCCCACTCGCTTCACAAGTTCCATGCTTTTTGTTCTTTCTTTGTTTCATGCTACCATGCTCTCTCCCCCTCAGTCTGCTCTTCTCCCTTCAACTAGGAGCACAGCTGTTACCCATTACTGTTGTTGCAGATGGATAACTCTCCTAATCTGCTGCCCTTCCTTAGTACCCCACACCTTTCCAACTGTAGACACTGCACATCCAGTTAAACAGCAGAGCTCCAAAACCAATGTTGCAGGAAGATTGAAAGATAAAAGGAATGGAAGATTCAGGAATATGGGGACAGGGATGTCATGGGGACCATTTTAGGTTCACAGTATACAGCCAGAAAATTCCTGTGGTATCAGAACATACCCATCTAGAAATGCCTCCCCAAAATGGAAGTGGTAGGTGGCATTAACTACAGACCCCTCCCTTCCGCCCCGTTCCCTGATTCCTCTGGTTTAGGTAACATGACAAAACAGATGACTCAGCTGAAGTCATTTTTTTACATTTTTTATTAGCACAGTAACAAATGCAGACTTAAGTAGCCCACGACATACAACCAATCCACTGAGTGACTCCTACTCCACGCCTTACATTTAAACAGCTTAAGGTATTTCACTACAGGTTGCCATAAGTCCCGATTAAAACCTTTATTCTTTTCACAAAGGTAGATTGGCTTATAAAATAATACATTAACTACTTCTCATTTCCTATATGAGGCCATATATTCACTCCTCCATATCATATCATGAGATGACAGTCTTTTAAAATGATTTGTTAAATACCAACGTGCCCTCCCGAGGGGACATAATCCCCACATCTTTTTACAAAAAAAAAAAAAAAAAAAAGTGTAGTTTTGAAAGAACTTTTACATAAATGTCAACATATGTACCTGTACAAAATTAAGCTGTTTTAATCTTATACATATCTTAAGCAACTGAACCAAAAGATGTCTAAGAAGTTTACATTCTTCTCGGTACTATATGCGAGCTAATATTGCTGAACTAATGACAGTCTTAAAATATGCTATTCCCAATTCTAGCTGTCTACTGTAGCAAGATACCTTAAGTTACAACAACAAAATCTTAGGAAATAAAAGACTGAATAAAATCTGTTATAGAAATACCCTACTCTTTACCAGCACCCACCCCTGCCCCCCACCCCTTCAAAATCATAAGCAGCTCTTTCCATCACAGACAAATAATGTAAGAGTTTGACAAAAATCCAATTTATGTAGCATATCTCTTGGTCCACTGTCTGGCCATTCTGTCGTGCTCTGCTCTGTTTGTCATATACTGAGTGGCAATACTTCCAACCAGGGGGTCAGCTGGAAAAGAAAAAGAATACCGCTTAAACACTCTGGGCATTTTTATTTATTTATTTATTTTTTACACCTGTTCCAGGAGGTGGGGGGCATGCTTTAGAGCAGCTCAGAGCTGCTGTAATTAGTGCTTACAGCATCTCTTGCATCAGCATCCCCATGCTCATGGGCGACTGGTGTTGCCTTACTTGGGGGGGGAGGGGCAGGGGGGTGGTACATGCCCCCACAGCAACCAGTCAGTGACTGGGGGGGGGGTCCCCATGGCCAATCTTTCTAACTGGGGGGGTCCCCCTGCAGCTGACTGAGGCAGCCGACCGCTGCAGATGCTTCTGGGAGTACCACGGTGCTCCCACTCCCTGGCTGGCGCTTGCAAGGGGGCACCAGCACTCCCACCTGCCCCCCCATCACCTAAGTGGCGAGCATGGCCAGTCAGGGAGTGCACCAGTGCTCTGAGGGGGTGCATGTGCACCCTCTACACGTTGTCACTGCACTTCAAAACAGTGGCAGGGGTGCTTTAACTAAAGCTCATTGAACAAGCATTAGTTAAAGCACCTCTGCCACCATTTTGAAGTGCAGAGACACTGATACACAAGACGCAGAGGCTGCTGGAGCCCACTAATATACATATTTGCTTCATCTATATCTATGTTCCTGAATAACATTGTATACATCTGAACTGAATCCTGCAAGTAAGCTGCTGGCCCTATTTATTTTCATCATTTTTTATTCTGGAAGATTTTTTTTTAAGATATTTCATTATCAATTTACTGTAACTCAAGATGTCTGCATTAGTGCAGACCATTAAAAACACCATTTCTTTTAGCTGGATTTTCCACTGACAGGATGAGGATCTAAGCTTTTTTGCTGCTTTTTTATAGGACAGCTTAAGAACAGATCTATGCTACCGACATACAAAGTATCAAACAAACTTCTATTATCTGCTGAAGGCAACAGAGTACTCAGGTGACCTTGAGCATACAGAAGTTCTAATCACCAGCTTGATGCTGCTATGCGCAATGCAGTAAACGCCACAGTTCCTTTCGACTCGAACAGTTCAGAATCAGGGCCCGAGCTATTAAAATGCCAGGTGAGCAATAACATTACAAATGTTATCTGTCAGGCTGCAACAGACTTACCAGGGTTGCAATCTGTGAGAAGTGAGCAGATGGAGAGAAGAACTTTAGAAATAGTTAGTGCTGGGCTCCAGTTGTCTTTTAAAATGTCCAGGCAAATCACTCCTTGGCTGTTAATATTACAGTGATAGATTCTTGTCCGAAATGTAACCTGAAAAAAAAAAAATATATATATATATATATATATTTGAGTAGTTTGACACATCTAGCAGTCTAAGCAGCTACACTAATAAATGTAATCAATCAAAAATAATAGAAGAGGAATGTGAAATTAACACTTTAAAGCCAATCTGTAAACTTATATTTACATCATATATTCAGCTTTAGTTTGTATTTCTAGAGTGTTAAATACTAACTTTACTACCAGATTTATAAGAATAAACATAAAAAAAAAAATGTGGGGGGTTTCCATGTTCCTGGTGAGCTGCTGCCCTCTTGTGGCAGCTGTTTGTATTAAAATACTTTAAAATCAGCCTTTAAAACCACAGGTTGATTACTATTCATAGAATCAGGAAGGGACCTCAGGAGGTCATCTAGTCCAATCCCCTGCTCCAAGCAAGACCATCCCGAACTAGATCATCCGTCATAATCTTTCTTCTATTTCTTCTTTCATAAGAAGAGCCACCTTTACTAGGACAAAAAAGCCTGAAGCAAAAGTTCAATTCATTTTTAGCTTACAATATACTAGATAATAGGATAAACTATTTCTAAACTATTTTTTATTTTCATAGTTTCATAGTTTCTAGGGTCGGAAGGGACCTAGGCAGATCATCTAGTCCTGACCGTGAAGTAGCGCCTCCTGATGTCCAACTTAAACCTTCCCTCCGCCAGCTTGTGACCGTTATTCCTGGTCACTCCTGGCGGCGCTCGGGGGAACAGGGACTCCCGCAGTGCCTGTTGATCCCCCCTGACTAGTTTATAGCAGGCCACAAGATTCCCCCCTCAGCCTTCTCTTCTGGAGGCTGAACAGGTTCAGGTCCCGTAACCTTTCCTCATAGGACCTGCCCTGCTGTCCCTTGATCATGCGAGTGGCCCTCCTCTGGACCCTCTCGATGCTGTCCACATCCCTCTTAAAGTGCGGCTCCCAGAACTGGACGCAGTACTCCAGCTGCGGCCTGACCAGTGCTGCATAGAGGGGGAGGATCACCTCCTTGGTCCTGCTTGAAATGCATCTGTGGATGCACGACAAGGTACAGTTGGCCTTCCTAGCCGCCTCCCCACACTGCCGAGCCATGTTCATCTTGGAGTCAATAATGACTCCAAGATCCTTTTCCACCTCCGTGCTGACAAGAGGGGAGTTCCCCAGCCTGTAGGTATGGTGCCGGTTGTTCCTCCCCAGGTGCATCACCTTGCACTTGTCTGTGTTGAACCCCATCCTGTTCTCCGCCCATCCTTGTAACCTGTCAAGGTCCGACTGTAGCCTGTTGCTCCCTTCTATTGTGCCCACATCCCCCCACATCTTGGTGTCATCAGCAAATTTGAACAGGGTGCTTTGCACCCCCTCATCCAAATCACTGATGAAGATGTTGAACAGGGCGGGGCCGAGGACCGAGCCCTGCGGGACCCCACTGCCCACGTCCTTCCAGGCCGAGAAGGACCCATCCACTACCACCCTCTGGGTGCGGCTCTCTAGCCAGTTGGCGACCCATTGGACTGTGTGGGTGTCTACGCCACAGTCCCCCAGTTTCCTAATGAGAACGGGGTGAGAGACAGTGTTGAAAGCCTTCCGGAAGTCCAGGAAGACTATATCCACTGCTACCCCTGCATCCAATGATTTAGTGACCTGATCGTAGAAGGCCACCAGGTTGGTCTGACATGACCTGCCGCTGATGAACCCGTGCTGGTTGCCCCTGAGCATGCATTTCCCTGCTGGCCCCTCCTGGATGTGTGCCAGAATAATTTTCTCGAACAGCTTGCCCAGGATCGAGGTAAGACTGACTGGCCTATAGTTTCCCGGGTCCTCCTTCCTCCCCTTTTTGAAGATGGGAACCATGTTGGCCCTCTTCCAGTCCTCCGGCATAGGTTTATAGATTTTTAAGATCTATAAACACAAATAATACAAATGGAAAAAATGAATTCTTGATGCTTCACATAGGTGGAGGAAGAACTGGTGGAGGAACCGGTATGGTCACTTTCTATGCCAAACTTGCCCCAAACTGCTGCCAAACTGATCATACTGTGTTACATAAATCTTTCCAATTCTAAATTGCAAATAGTATTTCAGCTAGAGGATGACACCAGCTCATTCCCCTCCTAAATGTACTGCTTAGGAGAGTGCCAGACTGAAAACTGAAGTCTGCCATTTAAATGCCCATGGAGACCCACAGCACATTCTGCCAATATCTGTACTGAATTCACTTTGAATCACCAATGTCAGAAGGACACTGACCTTCTGGAGCTCCTTTAGAATTCAAGGGCTGTGGAATATCTCAGAACAGTAAAAAAATGTGAGCCATGCAGTGGGCCCCTTCCCCCCCACCTTTACTTTTCTAGTCAACCAGGAAAGACCAGTTCCTGAGCTAGAAGGACAGTTCGCTCTCCATGCTCAAATCCTTGGTCTCCATGCTAAGAGGGACTGTGAGCGTAGTGGTTTGTACAATATGGATACACATCCTCTAGCCCAGCAGTTGGCAATCTTTTCTGTCTGTGGGCTGAAATTTGGGTTGGAGGTGGGCACTCAGGTGCATGCTAAGACCCGGCTTTAGCCATTGCTGCTTTTTCTATCCGCAACATTGCAAGGAAAGGTCCAGCAGCCACTGCTTCTCTCTGCAGTGGCACAAGGAGACCTCCCACAGCCACTGCTTCTCCCCACAATGGCACTGGGATAAAGCAATCGCTGCCAAAAACCACCAGAGCCCCATGTCCAAGGGCTGCATCCAGCTAACAAGCCTGTAGGTTACCAACCTCTGCTCTGAATGTAGCAAGGCAACTACATTCATTTCAGGGGTAGACCATCAGCTGATAGCTTCTGGTCATGACTAAGATGTCAACATGTCATTGTATTTAGTGCCCTTCTTTTTCAGTATTCTCAGATCTTGTGGTAGCTGAAGCTCCAGCTTCTGTAAACAAGTGATTTACTTTAATTAAAAAAAAAAAATAGCCCTCAAAGTTTCAGAATAAAGATTGAAAATGTGAACTGAGTATTCTCTAAAATCCTGAGGGCTTTTTAAAATAACCCCAATTAAATCAAAACCAAACATGATTTTTGAACATTTTCAGATTATATACCGTTTCCAATATCCCAGAATAGATTTAGGTTATTTGGACTAAGAGCCACGGTTTTTCACTGCTCATACTACCTAAATGCACAGAATTTATGCAAACATTATACTTTACTTTTTGAAGATGAGACTAAAATGCAGAGTGACTTGGTGAAGGCTATACAGCAGTTTAGCAGAGTTTTACTGTGTCTTGTTGCAGGCTCAAAGACTGCATTAATTCATATAAAAACCACATGGTCGAAGTTTTCAAACTTGGATACACAGAGTTAGTGTGAGAGCTAACACACACATGCACCTTTTTCTTTCAGTAGCATTTATAGCCCAATGCTTTAACATCAGACACTAAGTTCTCTTTCCCAATAGGCTCTCAAACCTATGTAAAGCAGCCAGATATTCAAAGGTTCAGTGCAACTGCAGCTTGTATTGACTTCAGAGTTCAGCACTTCTAAATAATAGTGGACTAACTTTCAGGAGTCTAAATAATACCAAAACATGAATTTAGAAGCTTAACTTCAAACAGCCAGATTTGAAAAAGGTCACCTAGATCCACCCAACAAAAAGCAGAACCCCAGCCCCATGTTTTGGAGGATAAATAGCACAGGCTGCAAAGAAGCCCTTCATGGTCTTGTCCTGAAATCCTCTCTCATTTGGCGAGTAATCCCCTTGAAGCCAGTGGAACAGCTTGCATGAATAAGGGCTATAGGAATCATGCCCTAAATCCCCAGAATTCACCAGCTATCCACACATGTTATTGTTTGTTTAAAAGTCACAAGGTTATTTGTGAACTGCACATTCAGTAGGTACGTGGGATGACGACAAGAGTGCACCAGTGTTTTTTCTGGGATTAGATAGGCCCGCACATTACATTTGCCCGTCTACCCTCATAGCTGCTGCACTCCCTGGAGCCTGCAAACTTTCAGCAGTGCAGAAGTGCTGGCCATGACTTTCCCTCTCAGTCTCCGAGTACAAAGCATGGGTGCGACATATGCAGCTACAAAACTGCAATGCCTCTTGTTTTCTGTGTACTGCATCTTTAAGTTTCCAAGAACACTCCTCATGTGCAGGAGCCAAGGCTATTTTTGTTCCCAGAATTGCAGTAGCTTGTCACACCAGACACCCACACTATGCTGTCTTGCAGAGACCTTACACTTCATTCCTTATAAATTATTTTGATTTAGGTTTCTGATTTTTTTTTTTTTAAAGGAAGTGCCTGCTTTTGTATATTACAGTATTTTCAAAATCAAAACAAAGACCAAGAGAATGGTATCCCTCTCTGCCCTCTGTTTAAAGCTTAACTTTGAGGGGAACAAAGAACACAGCTGCTGAAATTTGCACAGTGAACCTTAAAAGGTGAACTACACAGAACATGGAAAGACATCTCTCCATTTCTTAACTCCATGCACCCTGATGAGGAGCATAGCAACTATTCTGTTCCTGAGGCATGACATATGTATTAGGCTAAACAGATATCCATCTTGGTGATACAGATGCTAACATAGTCAGTTTTAGATGTGTCAGGTAAATTAAAGGCAAATTCAGTTCTCTGTCATGGCTTTGCCCTGAGTTTCCAAGCAGTCTCTAAGCCTACAGACAGAAGTTTCACATAAACCGGTTTAAGTCATCAGAAACTGGTTTAAACCTGTAACAGAACAGATGTTCAGTGCACATAAACCATATTCTAAATGGCTGAAACTGGTTTAAGGTAAGCCTGGTAGAATGTAGTATGAGACCTAACTGATTTGGGTCAAACCAGTTTATGCAACTTCTGTCCCAGAACCCTTCCTGGTTCAAACTAACTCAGACCCCCAGCATCCCAGGATGCTTTGCAACCCTGGGCTGGGCTAGGCTGGGCGAGCAGGGTTGGCCCCATCCCTCTCCAGAACACTATCGCTGCTCTGGCTGGCTGAGAAGGAGGTGGGGGTAGGACGAG